AATCGGTCCCGGTTCTAAAAACCGGAACCGGTTTGGCATTTTTCTCGTTTTTTAAAATACGCATAATTCACTCATATGAAGTAAGAATTATTTGATTTTTTTTTTCAACATGTAATTGGAGTTTGTAGTTCATTTTTTACTGTACAAACATATGTTTTGGTTAAATATTGAATCAGACACATGCCCCGAATGAAAGAATATCGATGCTGCGTTTTTCTCTATTTCAACATTTTTTTGTTTTTTTAAATCTGTCATATTTTTTTAAATGAGCATAACTCATTCATATGACGTCGGAATTACTTAATTTTTTTTTTCAGTATGTAATTTGGTGTTTATAGTTCATTTTAGACTATAAAATCACATATTTTGGTTAGATATTGAATCAGTTATAGACCTCGGAAGACAACATATCAATGCTGCGTATTTTCTGTTTCAACATTTGTTTTTTGAAATCTGTCCCGCTTTTAAAATGCGCATAACTCACTCATATGAAGTCAAAATTACTTGATTCTTTTTTCTTCATGTAATTTAGTGTTTGTACTTCAATTTAGAATGTAAAAAGTCGTACTTTGGTTAAATATTAAATCATTTACAAGCTCCGAAAGATAACATATCATCTATAATATTTTGACCGGTTCTAGTTTGAAAAATAACCGAAAAACCAGGACCGAAAGATAACATATCATCTATAATATTTTGGGAAATGTGATATTGAGTTTATGTGATTTTAAAAATAAAAAATTTATTTGAAAATTTACAGTTTTACATGTACGTTGAGTGTACGCGCCTGGGGTCCCGATCTGGTGAAGCATCCGAGTGCGTCGGGCGTACTGAGGGTACGCTTAGCGTACTTACGTAGGGGGTTTTGGGGCTTTTAGTTTCGGGCCATCTTGGGCTTTAGGGTTTTGGGCCCTTGTTGGACCATAAGTTTTTCTGAGCTGGGCCTTTATAGATTTGGGCCCATATTGGACTTGGAATGCCTTTTTGGACTTTTGGGCTAGTTTGGATTTGGTCCTTGGTATTTTAGGCCCAATAAGGGAAGGGTAAAGCAGCCTTTTACCCTTAAAGTCGGGATTTAGGGTTTGGACTCTGAGGTGAGTTTCCTTCACTATATCTGTGGGTTGAAGGCACCAATTTCGGCCCACTAGATTATGTTTGTAGGATGATGATTGTCTTCGTGACAATTACTTGTTATGCCTATATATGCTTAATGTCTCTATGACTCTTACTGTTATGATTATATGCTAGTTGTAGGGGTAAAATCGACCCAATACTGGTTCAAAGAGACCGAAGGGGTTGAAATATACCCATTACCGGTTGAAAGAGACCAAAGGGGTTGGAATATACCTATTACCGGTTGAAAGAGACTAAAGGGGTTGAAATATACCTAATACTAGTTGAAAAAGACTGAAGGGGTTGAAATAGACCCAATTATGTTTTGACTGTTATGTATGGTATGGGGTATTTTGAGGGAGCTCACTAAGCTTTGTGCTTACGGTTTTCAGTTTATGTTTTATGTACCTCCAACTCGAAAGGGAAGGACCCGACTTGATCGCACCACATTTGCCCATGTTTTCCTCATTTACTTGATTTCTAGGATTTAAACTCTGATATTATTTTCATTATGATACACTTTTGGTTGTTTTTTCATGACTATTGGATGTTTGAAATGAAAATTTTTATCTGGAAAATTTGGGATGTTATAGACCTAAGTTGTAATTGTTCAATAGTTGAACAAGAGAAGGATTCTGGAATATTCTAGGGTAGGCTGAAAATTTGAATGATCCTTAGGGTTTCTAGATTATTCCATATAGATAATATGGATAGTAAGGAAACTAGATAAATACAAGATTTGAAATAATATTACTTTATTTCAAATTAGGGCTATCTAGGGTTTTCCTAACAGCTATAAATAGGGCCTTAACCTTGTGATTTTCGACCACCATTAATCCAAAAAGGATTGCTGAAAATCATCTCCCTTCTCCTCATTCCTCAAGTGTTCTAATTGCTAGGGTTTGGGTATAGACAATCAGAGGCACAATATTTATGGTGCCCTCTTTCTAGAGCTTATTCAAGAAGGATTTTATTGATTATTTACAACAATAATCAAAAGGTATGTAAACCCTAATCTCTTTGTGAATTTCGATAATAATAGGGTTTTCCTGGGGTTCTTTGATGTTCATATATTATAGCAATCAATAGAGAAAGCTTAGATCCAAAGAAGTTGCATATGAACTTAAGGGTTAAGTTTTTCCACCACATGATTTTAAATATAACCTATAAAACCCATCACAACCATCATCGACCACCACCACCATCCTTTTGTTAATCAAACGTCAAATCTACGGCTTAACCTTCGTCTTCAAACCTTCATCTTCAATGGATTTGCATCTACGAAAACCCTATATCTCAAAATAATAAAAACCCTAGATTGCACCTGTGAACTTATAATACTCCTCTATGATTTTTTCTAGATTTGCAAGTCTAAACACCGAATAACCTATAAATGTGGTTTAAAATCGGGATTCATGAAATCCAAATAACCTACAAATATGGTGGGTCAAACCCTGAACTTGTTGACCTTGTTCTTGCAACTCATCAATAGATCTCAATCTCATAAAACCTTTCGTTTCAAATCTCGAACACACAAAGAAAATTGTACATGTGGAGCACTGTTTGACTCTTCACCGAAAAACTGCAGATGATCGAGACGTTTGAAGATGCGGTTTAACACCTGGTCCTTGCAGGTTAATCCCTTTCTTTTATTATCAAGTTTAAGTGTGGAGTTTTGATCTACAAAGGGCGTAGATAGCCTTCTACATGTTGGGTAGATAGAAAACTTGGAGGCAGGGTTTAATGACTTACGTAGGGCGTAAGTCTGAGTACACATCATGTACGTGGCCAAAGACCAAACCCTAAATTCGGGGTTTTGAGCCCTATTTAAGAGCTCTAACTATCTTAAGGTCTTCTATCATTAACTTCCACTCCCTTTAAGCAACCATCTCGAAACCCTAATCTTCATTTGAGAGTTTTTGAGCTTTTTGAGTGTTTTGGTGTTCATCTTGAAGGAAGGAGTCCCTTGAAGAGCACTTGTAAGGCTTCAAGCCTTGTGGATCTCGAATTTACATCTTACAAGCATTATCCAAGAGGTACAAAGTTCAGAACTTGATGAATATCTTGTGGATCTGGAATTTAAATCTTACAAGCATTCTCCTAGAGGTACAAAGTTCAAAACATGATGAATATCTTGATAGATCTTGTGGATCTGGAATTTACATCTTACAAGCATTCTCCAAGAGGTACAAAGTTCAAAACATGATGAATATCTTGATATATCTTGTTAGCTTTTAGGTTTATCTGGTCTAGTTGGGTATGAGCTACTCCAGACCTTATGAGTAGCATTTTCAGACGTTTTTATGTGCATGCAGTCATAAAAATACAATCTTGGTCCTTTCTTTCCAACCATGCATGAGTTATGGAGCTTGGGATTTTGTGATAAGTTAGGGTTTTGGATTGAACACTTTCTAGCCATGCAAAGACATAAAGTTGGAAACTTTTATGATTTAGAATGCTCTTTAGGGTTAGATCTGAGTATTGGGTGAAAGGTCTTAAGAAAATAAGTGCTTAATGTAGAGTTTGGATTCATCATGAGTACATAAGGCGTACTTAAGGTTACACAGCGCGTAACCTGGTTGAACCCTATATTATGGGATGTGACTTTACACCATGCGTAGAGCTGGAGTACACAAGGCATACTCGGTCTGATGTGGATCTTTGACTTTTGACTGCTGACCGTTGACTTTGACCAAGTTTGACTTTAGGTAATTTGGGGTAATTTGAATTGTAGATTGAGATTGGATCCATGTTTATTGCATAGGTGATCTGTAGAGACAGTGTTCGGAGCAACAATCAGTTTAGCTATCTTCCAGTTTGTGAAGTGAGTTTCCTCACTCTACTCGTGGGTCGAAGACACCAATGTCGAGCCACTAGGTTGTATGATGTATCCTGGTATATAGGATGTTGCCATGCTATACTGTCCTGTTAGACTGATTGATCTGCATGATTATATGTTGCTGGATATATGTTTATCTGTTGCATATGTCGACATAGTGCGGTTGGATTGAGAGTTTGAGACAATAATGCTCTGTACGGAAGCCAACAAACCTGGGAGCAAACCAGACATAAGTTGTGGGATGGGAAGGCAAACCATACTTATGTTCTGGGCTCGGGAGCAATCCAGACATGATCCGTGGGTCAGGAGGGCAATCCAAACTTGTGTTGTGGGCTTAGGGGTAGTCCAATCTGATGGCTGTGGACCCAGTATGCATGATGTTATATGTTTGTGTGGTGGTATTTTCGGGGAACTCATTAAACTTTGGCTTACAGTTTGAGTTTATGGTTTCAGGTACATCACAGGATAAGGGCAAGGCGAATGCATGATTGTGCGCATCATCCTGGATTTTATTGACTTATGATTTTGGGATACTCTGATTCATGATTTTGGTTTTGGAACTATGTTTTTATGTAATTTAAGGCTTTTGGAATACTTTTAAAAATGAAAATTTTACTCATGATTTTTGGATGTTACATGTAGTGGAGTTGAATAATGGGGAATCAACCCTACAACTACAAGGGAAGATGGCGGTAGGAAATATGCACACGGGGAAGATGATGGAGTCAATCTCAGTATCGACGTGGCCAAGGGAATGTCAACCAGATCTTTCAATTTTTATCTGATTTTGCATCCACCTCACCCATTTTTGTCTGATTTGGCATCAATACCTTCTATCAAGGGTCAATGAACAATTTCAATCGATCACATTATAATTAATTCTCTTAATGTATAGAAAGAAATAATTGAATATTATAAATTCGTTAGGTTAAAACTATATTTTCCTATGATAAATCAACTCCCATAGTCAATGCTTAACATTTAAAACATTTCTAATAAAATGCCACGACAGAAACACCAAGGCCGCCAGTCATGAGTTCCAGTAACCATGGCCTCCGCCACCCTCAGTACACTCGCGTCGCTGCTTCAATCAGCCGTCTCCTCCCGTTCCTCCGTCGTGGGTCGGGCAACACACGCCATGATCATCAAAACCATCGACTACCCCTTTCCTACTTTCATCTGCAACCACCTCGTAAACATGTATTCCAAGCTCGACCTCCTCGATTCAGCCCAACTTCTGCTCTCCCTCATACCTGCACAAGATCGCTCCGTCGTCACCTGGACCGCCCTCATTTCCGGTTCTGTACAAAATGGCCATTTCTCGGCTGCCATCCTCCACTTCCGTAATATGCACCACGACTCCATCGCACCCAACGACTTCACCTACCCATGCGCCTTCAAAGCTTGCAACTCTCTGAGGTCTCCAGTAACCGGTAGGCAGCTCCATGGACTCGCTATTAAAGCAGGTCAAATACATGACGTCTTTGTTGGGTGCAGCGCCTTCGATATGTACTCCAAAATCGGTCTCAAGGATGATGCCAATAAAATGTTCGACGAAATGCCTGTGAAGAATCTTGCAACATGGAATGCGTATATATCCAACGCTGTACTTGATGGAAACCCTCGTAAAGCAATCGACGCTTTCATCAAATCAAGAAGGCTATCTGGAGAGCCTACTTCAATAACCTTTTGCGTTGTCTTAAATGCTTGTTCTGATGCCCTGTTTCTGCAAATCGGTAAACAAGTTCATGGGTTTGTAATACGATATGGGTATGAACATCACGTCTCTGTTGCAAACAGCTTGATCGATTTCTATGGTAAGTGTAAGGACATAAATTCGTCTCACTTAGTTTTCAACAACATTAGCAATCATAACGACGTTTCCTGGTGTTCCATGGTGTCTGCTTATGAACAAAACAACGAAGGAGAAAAAGCTTGCATCCTCTTTCTACAAGCAATGAGAAAAAACATCGAGCCAAGAGACTTCATCATTTCAAGCGTTATCAGTGCATGTGCTGGGATTTCATCTCTGGAAACAGGAAGATTAATTCACTCACTTGCAATCAAATCATGTATTGATGGAAACATTTTTGTTGGAAGTGCATTAGTCGACATGTATGCTAAATGTGGAAACATAGAAGACTGTGAAAAGGTGTTCGATGAAATGCCTGAAAGAAACTTAATCACATGGAACGCGTTACTCAGTGGGTATGCCCATTTAGGACAATCAAACATGGCCATTTCCTTGTTTGAACAAATGAAATTTGAAGTGAAACCAAATTATGTTACTTTTGTGTCTGTTTTAGCAGCATGTAGTAGGGCTGGAGAAGTGAAACTAGGGATGAATGTTTTTGATTCAATGAAATTAAGATATGGAATTGAACCAGGTGTTGAGCATTATGCATGTGTAGTTGATATGTTGGGAAGAGGTGGAATGGTGGAGAGTGCTTATGAGTTTATAAAAAGAATGCCTTGTAGGCCTACAGTGTCTGTTTGGGGTGCTCTTTTAGGGTCTTGTAAAGTCCATGGATATAATGAGATAGGAAAGATTGCTGCTGATAATTTGTTTCAATTGGATCCTCAGGATTCTGGAAACCATGTTATTCTTTCAAACATGTTTGCAGCTTCTGGAAGGTATAATTTTTTCTCAAAACTGATCATGATAATCTTTTGTTCCTATAAAATGATTTTGTACACGAGATTTTTTTCAGTTAGGGGAATGAACTCTATAAAGTTGTAACAAAAAAATAATGGAATTAGAATGGTGTAATACATGAATAAATGAAAACACATTGCTAAGGTTAAATACAAATAATAACAATTAGTATCATTGGTTTTTAGCTATATTACATTGAAAAAAGATGGTAATGTCATCCCTATACAATGCAAATTTCATTGGTTTTATTGTGTATAATTTTTCAAAATATAATGTCCTCGTAAGAACAAAAATTAAAAGTACAACACCTTGAAATGAACAAAAATTAAAAGTGGTTTTTTTTTTTTTTTTTTTTTTTTTACCACGGAAAGATTTTATTTTCTGGTTTAACCATTAAATTTTGTTTTTTTTTCGTTGAAAAAAGCCACTATGAGTTTTTTTGATAACGAATTTCAAAATACAATTCGAAGATTATTTTCTGGTTAAAGATGCTTTTTCTTAAGTAATTTAAAGTTGTAATGGTTAAATCGTATTTTTTTCTTTTAAGTAACCGAATAAATTCCAAACTATAGTGGTTTTTATACAATTCAAAGTTTTATGTAGCTATTTTTCAGAAAAAAAAACTCAGTTTTTTTGGAAAAAAATCAAAGTACGATGGTGTTTATATTATGCCCAAAAAAAAAAGATGAAAGTAGTTTCATAGTATTGAAAACAAATATTTATGCAAAACAATCATTAATCTAATTATCCATTAAATTTAGGTGGGAGGATGCGAATCTCGTAAGAATGGAGATGAAAGACGTCGGAATAAAAAAATCCACAGGCTACAGTTGGATTTCCGTGAAGAATTCCATCCACACATTCCAATCAAAAGACACATCTCACGAACAAAACCCTGAAATCCAATCAATGCTCACAAAACTCAAGAACCAAATGAAAGCAGCGGGATACCTACCCGACACAAAATTATCTCTTTTCGATTTAGAAGAAGAAGAGAGTGAATCGGAAGTTTGGCACCATAGTGAGAAGATAGCGATTGCTTTTGGCTTGTGTGTTATACCTCCTGGAGTTCCAATTAGGGTTACGAAGAATTTGAGGATTTGTTTGGATTGTCATAGTGCGATTAAGTTTATTTCGGGGATTGTTGGGAGAGAGATTATTGTGAGAGATAATAATCGGTTTCATCGGTTTAAGAATTATGAATGTTCGTGTAGAGATTATTGGTAGTTAAATATGTGAATTTGTATGTTAGGAAGTGTTTGATTTATAGGTCTATGAGTTTGGAATTTATAAAGTTTCATATTGGATACATGGATATTCACAAAAATTATTGAAAGTGCTTTGATATCTTATATATATAACATGAAATTTCTTTTTGAGTTTTCAAAATGATCGTGCACTTTCAAATGCCTAAACCATCACACAAGTACCATACGAGGGGCTAAAAATCCCCCGTCTAAGCAAGATCATGTAGAATGCCATCACAATACAAAGTTTCAACATGCATGAGTGCTACACAAGTCACAATCCATCCAAAGTTTGATGTACATTATTACCGATCAAAATCAATTTAAAATAATAAGATTCGTCCCAATTTCAACAACTCTTTATAAAAATCATTTCGTGAAAGCACCACTTAGTACATATAGTATTCCACATAGTTTATGCACATAATAATTGGAATCAAAGAAAGTATCAAAACATAATACAATATTAGAGTCATTCGTTCTTAGGTAATGAACTCACATTACAAGTATATGAGATCTTATAATCCACTTTTATAGATGAATATGAGGTCAATGATTAATTAAAGAACCATTGTAAGTATATATGATAAACACAATTGACCTATAATTACACTAATTGGATTATAATTATACTATTGGAGATACTTGTAGTTTAGATAAAAGTCAAATATCCCATAGACCCTCATATAATGTCCTAAGGGATCATTGGATGCAAACAAAACGTCCTCTTTTCGGCTTAGGATTTTTTTTTTTGAAAAATAAAAACTTGACAAAATGAAAATAAACAATTAAAAAAAGATAAACCAAATTAAAACTTAAAATAATGATTTTGAATATATTATTTATTTATTTAGTTTAAATAAAAGTAAATTAGTACTTATTTGAGTTTAATATAAAAATAGTGCTAAATAGGTAATTTAGACAAAAACCTATACTTGACCAATATTTGACTTGGCTAACTCTAGTAGGGACCTTATTCATAGAAGTCTTGGTAGAGAATGACTACTAATGTACATAAATACTAGCTAGTGAGTTAAGTCAATGTTTGGGGAAAATTGTGAGAAGTAAAGAAGTTAAGGGAGTACAATGTAAAATGTTAAGGTAACTACCTGTTTGTTTTTTTCCATTTTTTCCCCAAACTCATTCAAAACCGTTTTTGAGAGGAAAGAGAGAGATTCATGATGTTTGGAGAAGCTAAGAAGAGATTTAGTGATGAAATTGAAGGTTAGTTTAAGCATGCAAGTTAGGAACTCGCTAAGAATCTATTAGAGAGACATAAACTCATTTCATCTACCCCACCATCAATATAGGTTTTAGAGGTTTCTTCAAATTAGAAAATTTTTGGGAACTATGGTGTTCTGAAGCATATATGGAGACATAGTGAAGATTCATGTATTTCCCCAGCATCAATTTCTAGCTTTTGAAGGTGGTCACCTTCTCTAATCTCTTTATCTCGTAATCGAGGGTTTAAATTAGAGTGCAAATCTGAAAAATTGACTTTTCATTGGAGATTAGTAGTTGATTCTAGTGTTGTTTTAGTGATTAAGCTCCTAAACTTCATATAATTTAACTCTAATTGATCATGGTGGAGTTTGATGAGTGAAAGTTTGTGTCGGTCGGATACACTTCAAGTATGAATAACAAAAAGTAAAATTAATCTAAGCAAAATAATCAACAGAAGGTAAATAACACAGAAGTTCTCCAAATTGTTCCTTTCACCAAGAAAAGAAGTTTTGTCTTCACCAAGAAGACGGGGTTGTCACAAAGACGAATGACACAAAGCCACAATCACAATCACCACGACCACCACATTAAGGTTTGCCCTAATGTTGTATATATAATAGTCTATACATGTATATCCCTTGATTGAAGGGATTTCGTATAATCTATAATAAGAACCGATCTTATCACAAACATACCGGATCTGTGATCTATTCTATATTTATATATATCATTACCTAATATACAAAGAATTACAATGAAATAATTAAACTGTAAGCTGACGCTGGCAAGCTTGATACGCTGGCGTTGTCAATGTATAGATGCTGACGTTGATAGATCAACGTGTCATGTGTTTGACTCATCAGATCATAAGGTGTGGCCTTATAATCTCCCCCTATCTGATGATGTCAAAACTAAACTTCTTCTTTAGAGTCATCAGAAGAGCCATTATAGATAAGCGGAATGCTTTTGGCTCATGCTCCCCTGAGAGTAAGAATGAAATCTTGACTTTTGCATTTTAAACGAATGCTCCCCTTGAGAGGATGAATGATTCATGAATTTCAGTAGACGAAGAAAAAATAGATAATGAGTCTGAGCTGATCTGAGAACGTTGGAATCAGTTTGACTCGACTTCCCCTTAGAATGAGCTTTTCTGAATTCTAGTAGCAAAAAATTCAGCTTTACTTTCTCCCCCTTTTTGACATTAATAGCTAACGTTGAGCAAAATATAGTTTCAACTTGTAGTCTAGTAAGATTGTGATGTCTTCTGATAGCGTGGGCTTAAATTACCATTCACTGATATAATATTGAGAGACCTCATCAGCGTGTGGTTTCATATGATGAATCATAAATTCCCTTTTATTAGAAGAAAAATGGAAAGATTGGATAGGTGCATGTAATATATCACGGACAATGATATACCCATCGGCACAGATTTGTCAAGTTCTCATCAGCGTATGGTACATTATGCTGAATCATAAAACTTTAAATAAGAATGTAGGGGTAAGAATGGATTGGTGCATGTGATAGCCTACGGTACGTAGACTAACCATCAGCACAAACTTTCAACCTTTTATCAGTGTCTAGTTTTACACAGTGAATCATCAAGCTTTATTAAGAAGATAAAGGATAGAACGGATTGTTTCAGTCACACTGAGGTGATATCAGCGTGAATCATTAACAGATTAACTCATCAACAAGAAGTGGTTTAAACTTCCGTATCATAGAGTAAGTTGCAATTTCGAATCAAAGATTCACCGTTAATTCATAATGGTACCATGTCATACCTCAAACTAGGAGGTCAGGGACATGAACAACCCTTTGTTATTTAAGGACCAGACAAGTATCTCTTACGATGCTGACTATGCAATCAGGGTAAGCCATTGGGTTATGCTCAATGTTTCAGCATAACATGAGACTTGATGCATACGGCAAGCATGCTTCCAGGGACAGCGATAAGTAAAGATGAATAAATAAAAAATAAACACCCTAGCCTTTTTATCAATATCTTTTTATCTGGACCAGGCTATCTCACTTTGAGAGTTTAGACAATGCTAAACAATCAGCGTGAGAGGGTGACTCAATGTTCCCAGCAGATGGTCTCGCTGATGAGAAACTTAAAGAGTTTTTGTCACATACAACAACATGCTTCTAGAGACGACGATGTGTAAAAAGTTGCATACTAGGCTTAGAATTGCCACCGTCGGATTCCTTTACAAAATGGTACAAAAGAGTAAACAAAATAAGAACACAAACAAAAAGTTAGTAAAAAAAGAAAATAGTTTAAACAACAAAGTATGTGCACCTTTTTCAGAAAGGATAAAGACTCGTTCCATAAAATCTTTGGAATTGAATGGTTATTAATGCATTTCCATTTTCCAAGATATCTTCCCCTTGAATTTTGGATATAAAAGAGAAGCATAAGCAAGGATAACGTCATCAGTAAACATTTCATTATGAATCAAGAGTGATGAGACTATTTATAATTAAAGCATTTCAGATGCTTTCTAAGGTTCATGTTCATCAGGAGCAAGAGAATACGTGAAGATCAGTCATTGTAACCAACGAGTTAACTGACTCGAATTCATAAAACCATCATGTCTTCAAGACCAACATGAGGTTATTCAAGGTTTTATAGAATTATGAGTCAGTAGATGAAAACAAGTCTTACTACATTGATGGTGCTCTTTGCATCCATAACAGTGAATGAAGGAGAATGAGAGTATCCTCAAGAAGAAAAGGACACGAGGCCACTCTTTTTCTCAATAGCAAGAGCATTGAGATCCTTAAAGAAAGCTCCAGTCCTTATAAATTTTGAAGTAATAAGATGGAAATAAATAGTAGATAGGCTTGAAAGACAATACATGCAACTACTAAATGTAAGATTTTGCATTCATAATAAAAGAGGCACTTGTTTTTGAGTTTTTCAAAAACAGAAAATAGTTAGAAAATGATTAATACATTGAAAGCATGCCAAGATATATAATTAATTTGTTCAAACTCTTTTCATCTAATTCCTTGGTGAAGATGTCAGCCAGCTGATCAGTGGATGGAATATAGAACAATTCCACTTTTCCCTTTTGAGTTATGTCCCTGATGAAATGATGACGGATGTCGATGTGCTTGGTCTTGGAGTACTGCATTGGATTTTGTATCATCTGAATAGAACTGGTGTTGTCACATCAGATGAGTGTTTTCGAGAAGTTTAAACCATAATCTAAGAGCTGATTCTTAATCCATAGAATCTGATCACAACATCTTCCAGCGGCAACATATTCAGCCTCAGCGGTAGAACAAGCCTCTGATGTTTGCTTTTTGCTGGACCAGCTTACCAATATATTTCCAAGCATTTGAGCTCCTCCTGAAGTGCTTTTACGATCAATGCCACACCCACCATGATCGGAATCAGTGTATCCTACCAGCTTGAACTCATAGTCACGAGGATACCATAACCCAAGATTGGGTGTATGTTTTAAGTACTGAAAAATCCTTTTGATAGTGTGAAGATGAGATTCCTTAGGAGTAGCTTGATAGCGAGTACACAATATGGTGGAAAACATAATATCAGGGCGACTGGCTGTAAGATAGAGTAGAGAGCCTATCATTCCTTGAAACATAGTTGCATTCACATCAGTGCCACTTGGATCAGTGCCAATAGACGCCAATGAAGACATCAGAGTCTTTGCCGGTTTGCAATTATAAAAACCATACTTCTTCAGCACATCTTCAATATATTTAGCTTGACAAACAAAAATACCA